GATGGATGGATGGATGGATGGATGGATGGATGGATGGATGGATGGATATGGTGTTTTGCTTTGAATGTTGAGGAATGTTTTTACAACTGTCTGATAGAAATATTTTAATGAAATGTCTGAAACTCCATTTGGTGAAAGAAATAATAATAATGCCTAAAGTTAGTTGTTTTAGGTTTTCTTGGTTTTTGCAAACGAAGCTGTTACTGTGAGCGAGGGATTTTTCTTCATACTGGTTTACCCATCTGTCCCAAATCAATGCTGAGCTAATCAAACAATGAAACTGGTGCATTGTATGCAGGACTTCTATCTTGTAAATGATTCACAGATTACACACTATTTCCTGAAAAGTTGGAAGATTTGCTAAAACCTTGAAAACACTCAAATCTGTAACTTGTTGCAGTGTTGTGGTAACAAAATCACATACCAAGGATGAACAAAAACTACTTCAATTTATTTTTAAAAAAAGTGGGACAAGCTACAAAAAAATGTATCAACTTTTATTAGCAGTTATTCCCACCATTATGCCCTGATATTACTTCAGTAAATGTCCTTAAAAGGTAGTTAGGTTTCAGTCACTTCTTATATTTTTAAAGCATGTTAATTTTTTTTTTTATTGTTATAGTTGCTCTATAAATAAAATTCATAAATAAACACAACATATTACTGAGAAGTATAACCATAAAAATGGACAAACTGCTGCATGGAAGTTATTTTTGTGTGCTGCAATTTGATCACATTCTGTTTTAAAACTTAAGCGATGAAATTGAGATTTTATAACAGAAGTCCAGAAATCAATTGGTGGCAGTTGAATGCTAGTCTCTGTTTTATTCATTTTGTTCTGAAAAATTAAAAAAGTAGAATGCTGTTTTTAGTTTCTTTATCATATCATTTAATTTGTAAAAAAAAAAAAAAAAGAAAGAAACATTTGTCAAATAAGTGTACATAAAATTAGCGAATAGTTATGATTTACAAAAATCTAACAGTCAGAGTGCACAAGAATATTAACAATCAACTAAAATGCTATGATTACATTGAGTCCTTTACAGCAGGATGGCATAAATATTGTACAGGCGACATAAACGTCATTTGAACTTTGTCAATGATTCAGCTTCCAAGTCTACCTGCATGTGTGTGTGTGTGGGTGTGGGAGGAACATCATTGTCACGTTTTCTTCAGTTTCACAGATTGCATACAGCAAGATTCCAGGAAGAATATGGCGCAATGCATCATCATTCTCCAGCTATGTCGTATTTAGGTGAGCAGCTGTTTGCAGCATGAAGCGGATGTAGAAAAATGCTGCAGGAAAAACACGTCAGTTTCCTTAAGGAGTGTCTGCTTCAGTAGATGACTTAACCAATGAAATCAAAAGCAAGTAATGAAAAAAATATCTTAGTAGTGTTACAGTACATCAGATTACAGTATTTTACACTAGTTATCATCTGTGTCCGACCTATGCGAAGAATAAAATCTACTCTTTTTACTTATTTCTCCACTATATTTTTTCCCTCTAAAGCTTCACAAGCATCAAACAAGAGAATCTGAGCAAATATGCATTTGAATATGGTTCCTTTTTGATTTCTACCCTTCCAGGGGTAAAAAAAAGAAGAAGCTGTAATGCACACTTCTTTTATCAGCCATTAGAGCGTAGTATCCATCCTTAAATCAACAAAAACTGATCTGTTGATAAAGTCATAAAAACAGGATGAAACTGGAATCTCACAACACAAAAATGGGAATTATGCGTCCAAAGATGTCCAACAAAACAGGGCATCCATTAAGGGATTTAGTGGTGGACAACGTTCCCGTATCTCCTCGGAAACATGACTCTGGATCCTAATTGGACCTAATGGCCTGCAGTGTCTCCATAAAAAAGAATCTTGTACTTTGTGGTAAAACACAAACCACAGAGATAGTGCCTTCCCTTTAAGTCAGCTTCAGTGTGTATCTTCATCATGTAGTATATCCACTCCAGTCTGGACTGAAGTTCTTCATCACACACACGCGATTGTTTCATGTGTTGAGTACCCCGTTATCATCGGGCTTGGTTTCCTCTGAGGACGGCTGGCTAGTGACTGTATCGTGACCAGAGTTCAGAGGCCTGGCGTTGGCCTTAGACGACCGCTGCCGCCGAGTGCCGTTGCAGATGCAGCGCAGGAGGTTTTTGAAAGTGATCCACATCTCCTCGTCCTTGTAGGAGTAGATGCAGGGGTTCATGACAGAATTGGCCACGGCCAGAAGCAGCAGCCAGCGTTTTAATTTCATCACGTTGCAGCTGTGGCAGTTGAGACCGTCCATTAGCAGGACTACCAGACCAGGAGTCCAGCAGATCACAAACGCCCCTGCAGACAGAAATAATTAGAAAATTACATATGTTTCTAAGCATCTGTATGGTAAAATGCATTTGTAAGCCTCATAAATTGATGATTAATGCTGAAAACACAAAATGCATGAGTTTATAGCATATATTTATCACCTGTCACTGAAAATCAAAGTCAGAGAGATAATGTTTTGCCTGTGTTTCTGTGTGTGGTGGTCAAGATGGCCGCCCGTCACCAACAAATTACCTCAGAATACACAAAGATTCAGACAGTTTTACAAATATTGAGCCAAACATTTGCATGGTAGTAGCAGAGTCTCACCCTCAACAAACAATTTAACATCATTATTAACTGTTAAGAGTCAATCCTGTTTGATTGTTAGCAAAATCTCCTTCAAACCACTGGACTGATTCCAAGGAAACTCTGAAATTAATAACTGCACATCTATAACTAATTAATTTTGGTACCACTTTACAATAAGGCTCCCCTTATAGATGGCTAATAAATAGTTTATAGATACATTATTAATTCCTCTATAAACACTTTATACATTGTTAATAATTGTTTATTATGCATTAATTAAGGGCGACAAAGAGACAAAACTGACCAGTATCTTGCAGAATAGTGAGCCCAATCTGTTCATTTGTTCATCTGTTGTACTTTATCACAGCATTATAAGTATTTACAACTAATATTATATTTTAAAAAATTAGGCTTACAAATGCTTATTGTGCTCACTAACTTAGTCTGAAATGTTTATTATAACAACTCTAGATAAAATATATAGGTGGCAGGTTTGTCTCACTATTTGGCAAGAAACTGGTCAGTTTTGTCTCTCTGTCACCCTTAATTAATGCATAATAAACAATTATTAATGATTTATAAAGTGCTTATAGAGGAGTTAATAACATATCTATAAACTATTTATTAGCCATCTATAAGGGGAGCCTTATTGTAAAGTGGTACCTTAACTTTTGTAGACAATAAACATAGACATAATGCAGTCAATGTTAGAGACATTGAGCTAAAATCTGATGTGGTAGTAGCAGAGAGTCATTCACAACGCATACTCTACTGATCATGCAAAATACTGCAAAACCACAAGATTATGTTTTTTTTTTTTGTTTGTTTCAGGTTTGATCAAAACTCCACTATTGCCAACATCAGTTGATGCATCTTATTTTAAAACTCTGGCTTGAAAGCTTGTGTAGTGGTTATAAAACGGTTGCAGTTTAAAAAAAGGACAGAAAAAAAAAAACATTAAGAAAAACAATATTGTTTTGTATTATTTGGCTAAAATTGCCTTTGGTTCATGGTAATATGTAGGAAATGTAAATGGAAAAAACGCATCATAATTCATTCCTCAGTTGAAGTAAAATTCATGGGATGCACTGTGATTGCTGATCTAGCGATCTATGATCAATTTTTCTGGTCTTGCAGTTCAAAGGTCACAGAATGATGCAGTAGAATAATAATATGTTTTAAATGCATTTTCTTTAATGTTACTTTTCTGACTACAATTGTTTATAGACTTTAGAGAGTGATACAGTTTCAAAGTTTATGTTTGAAGAGTTTTATTTACCGATCGTGTCTCGATTAGTTATGTCTAAACTAACACTCGCCCATTACAACACCGGATGTGACAGAAGTAACACTGTGTCTTTGTCTGTTTCATCTTTCCTCTTTTACAGGGGTAAAACACTTGCAGGCAACATGCATTCCATCTGGGAATAGTCAGAAATTAGTCATGAAATGTGGTTACCTGTTTACCATTTTCTTAACCATTTTGTTTGTTGTCTGCATAGGGCCCAGGTTCTACAATGTTATAAAACAAAGTCTATCAAAGCCACCCACATCACACGTTCTACCAAATCTGAAGAATCACTGGATGAAGGAGTGTCAGATGAGTCAACAGGTTTCCTCCAACTTTTAACTTTGTGTGTTTGCTGACTAATAAATTGTGTCACATTGCTTCTGAAAACGCAAATTAGTCAACTATGTCAAACATGTTTGGGCACAAACTCCGAAAGAGTTTTGAAGAGCTGGAAGAGGCTGCAGGTAGCAACTTGTCTGCACCAGCAGCATCTGTGTGGCTTTAGTTCAGCAGAACAAACAAATGCAGGGTACCAGAGGCCAACTCTGGACATGTAGAAACAGATTAAATGTGTCTAATAGAATAGCTGAGCTCTGTTTTGAGTTTTCAAACCTAAAGGCAGTTAAAAACACAAAGCTATCTCCTGTTCTTCTGTTCTTCTATGTCCTGACTTCTGTTGTGACTTGGCGCTATATAAATAAACTGAAATGAATTGAATTAGCTGAACAGTGGTTTTATATTTATTTTGCCCCCTTTGATGGCCAAAATACCAGGACCTGAGTTGTAAATGGGTTAGTAGTTAATAGTTAATAATTGAGACCCTATAAAATGGACTTCCAATTTTGAACTTGGATCCTTTTGAAGAGAAACAAATACGTTGTCGGGTCTACACTTAATTCAGAATTTCTGCTTTTGTTCATTCAGTTCTGCTCATGAAAGAAGCTTGTACATGCGCTTCTGAACTGGTTTGGCCAGTTCACCTTAGAGCTTTGTCTTGAACACTTTCACTCACTCTTATTACTATTTTAAAAAATATTGTTTTAGATGTGCAGCTAAACCCATTCCTTGACATTCTTTCCTTCTCCGATATGGAAACAGTATTTCCTTTTTCACAAGTTCACCAGGGCCTTTCCCCCCCCAGTAACTGAAGCAATCTCAGAAAACGGAAAGCTTTGAAGGAAACGTCTGCAGATTTACAGTGAGCATAAAGAAACTTTGGAGCACCAGAGCATGCACAATCTATAGAAATGTGCATCTGAAAACAATTGACAGAGTTGTAAAATATAGTATTTCTTTTTAGGTCAGAGAGGAGGGGACATTTACTGAAGGTCAATGTGGTGAATGGTTCACCACACAGGCCTGCGTCCTTGCAGGGAGAGATAATTACACAGCAGTTTGAATAAAGGGTGTACACTGGCAAACAACTCCTGTGCTCCATACAGTACAGACTGGAGCCTTGTGGACGGATGAAATGAGCACCCAAAATTACAGACCTTTATTTTTTTCCTGATGGGTGCAACAAAACAGCTATCACATGCATGTTTTTAGCTGAAATCACTGAAGGGAAAACAGCTCACCTACAAAGCTGTATGAAACAGCTTCAATCTGAGTCAGATTTCTAAATCCAGAAGCTTAAGCACACCATTTAAACCAGGATAGGCCTCTAAAGACCTTATTTGGTGATTCAAAAGGAGATCAGCCATATTCTTCTCCTATGAATGAAAAACACAAAGTGGGAAATGATTTAAATGCTCCATTGTCATTGTAAGGTATTCTGTTGCAAATCCTAAACAAAAGGAAATCTAAGCCACTGTTAACACAAAAACAGAGTTATAAGGTAGGTAAAATGACCACATCATGCTGCCTTTGCTCCGTACGCTGAAACAAACAGTAATGAGGTGTCCAAGTATGATCACAGTTAGCGTGATGAAACTTAGGAATCAAAGGCGTGTCGTGAAAGAGTCTATTGGTTGTGTGGCAAGTCCTCTCCCTTTAACAACAGCTTTCACTTGGCTCAGTGACTACTTACAAAACTGATTTTAATTCAAATAAATGTACACTAAATACTTTAAATGGAGCTTTTTGAAAAGGAAGGAATGATTTTGAAGAAAAATATTTTTGTGTTGATCTAGGGGTAACAACAAGCTCATAACTAGATTTTAGGTTTAAAAGGATTGTCTGGATTTTTAGAAGTGGGGTTTTTTGAAGGGTTATCCGTAGTCAGTATCTTACCTGCAGTAGACAACAGTCTGGATAATCTTAATTTGTAGAAGATTTCAGAGGAGTCAAGCTAATAAATTATTCAAGCCAATTTCAATGCAGATTTCTGGCATCTTAAAATTTAACTGTAGTTTTGTGATGACTATTTTATTAAACTGCTGTCACTTTTGCATAAAGAGAAATCCATGACTACACAGAAAAGTGTTGCTTGTTCCATGTGAAATGTTTTTCTAACAGGCAATGTTAAACTCTATCTAGCAAGAATAACCATCAAATAAAGAAATATGTAGTTACTTTTCCCGATTTTACCAGAAGTGTTTAGTTTTGCAACAATTTTTCTCATTGACAGTTACAAGTAACACACTCCAGACTCCATCGGTATTCAGGAGAAATAACTGCAGACTTCTGTATAACAGGGTATCTGCAAGTTTCTGGAATTTAAACCTAAGACTTTTAAAAATCTTCTAAAGACCACTATGATTGAAATTTAAGACCTAAATGAATTGCCAAAACTAACAGGGTAATGTCAAATTTATTTCAAAGTAACATATTTTATAGTTTTTCAGCCAAACTCAAATAATTCAAATAATTGAAACAAACCAGTTTCAGGAGCAGAGCAATTTTTTTTTCCAAGGAATGCTGAATGTACAACAATACAGTAGTCCCTCGCTACTTTGTGGTTCATTTTTTGCGGACTCACTCTATCACGGTTTGTTTAAGTACTGTACAGTACTGTATATGTACATAAAATTTTCCAACAACAAAAAAAGTGCTGACATTTTGTAGTTTTCTTTCATTAAGCCTTCACTGTTTTGTTAGTCTAAAGAACTACGTTACCCAGAAGCCATCAGTTCACTTCCCAGAAGTCAACACTGCTTGCTGCAAAACGGAGGGAAAGTTTTGCAACCAAAGTCAGAAGTAACGATAATAAGTTCACAGAACTGGCAGGAAAGTATCAAATTATTCTGAAGCTGAACTCATCCTTCAAGTTGTATCTTCACTGCTGAGTAGCTGGGCTGCAGGTGATCTGGACTCAGTGTGACCCGGATCCTGGGAGCTGCAGGGAACAGATGGCTGCAGAGTTCAGCCTGGTTCTGGTTGCGTGGTGCTGATCCAGACTGGGCCAGAGGGGGTGGAATAAATCCTGGGCAGCCTTGCTCCTGGAGCGGCAGCGGTGGGCTTCAGTCATGCTGCACTGGGACTTTTGTCATCTATCGGGTCGGACGGAACCGAGCTGCTCCTCCTGTTCTGCAGAGCCCTTGTAAGTAAAATTTTGTAGCTCCTGTACATACAAGTACTGTATGTTGTTAAAATTTGTAGGTTTAAGAGTTTAGAGGACTGATTGTGGGCTTCATTGCTGCAGGATAAGTCTGCAGAAGTGAACAGAGTCGGAATTAAACAGAGTTGGACCAGAACCAGAGCTGTTGCTGTTCTGCCAAGCTAGTAAGTAAAATTTAGTAACACATGTTGTTAAAATGACATGAGTTTAAAAGTTTAGAACATTCCAAGAGTGTGGGAAGGGTTTCTAAAGCCTTAATATATGGTTTACTGTACTTGAACTTAAACTTGAACTTGGACTACTGTATCTTTGTGGTTTTTCATTTATCGTGGGGCTTCAAGGTACGGATCCACCGCGATAAACGAGGGACGACTGTAAATTCCTTCTGACGGGACTGCTGCATGATGGGGCTTTTAGTTTTGTTACAGTGTAATAACATCTGAAATCCTTCAAACAAAAACACAGAACTGATGAATACTGAGGTTTAAAAAGTAAAGGAAGAAGCAGTGAATGAACATATAAATTAAAGATGTAACTAAAAGTATTTTAGGAGCAACCATGAAAAATATGGACACATTTAGGACTACTTCAAACCTGACAGCGTAAAAGCTTAAAAATCGCCTTTGCATTAATTTTTAGTTTTCAGTTCTAAGTTGTCTTGAACTCAGACTAGTTGTTAGTTCAACTCCGATAAGAACTCCTTGATTCTCCGAACAGAGCTTGTTCTGATTGCTCTATACTGCAGGTAACATACTGACTGCCGATAACAACTCCACAGAACCCTATTTAAAAAATACCCAAACAATTCCTTTAAAAGTTGAAAATCATATGTTCGCCCTACATTGCAGTTTTGACACTTGCTTTAACTTTCATAAAATACTGGACAAGCATGAGTTAATTCCTAAAACTCACTTGCATTCTTAACCTTGTGGTTAATTTCACAAAAAAAAATATATATATATGCAACCCAGTGTGTTTAGCAAATACCCATCTGCTTGTGACTAAGTGACAACTTGTTGAAAAAGACACAGCTGTTTAGCACAGCTGACTCACTGATGCATCTCTGGAGTTTATGCACAAACACTTGCATGAGCAGCCCTTACCGAGCACAACCATGACCGTCTTGATGAGTTTGATGGGAGTCTTCTTGCGGTTGATCGAGCCGTTAGTGTGCTGCGACATTGTTGAAATCTTCTTCTTCACATAAGCGTAAATCCTCAAGTAGATTGCCACCATGACGAGGAAAACCACCAGGTTAGAAACCGACCAGAAGACCAAGTAGCTCCTGCTAAAGATGGGAGCGAGCTGGGAACAGTCACTGAGGTTGCAGATGCAGTTCCAGCCAAGGCTGGGCACAGCCCCCATGAAGATGGAGATGGCCCAAACCAGACAGATCAGCAGGGTCACCCTTCTCTTTGTCAGGTTGCTATGAACTTTCCATTTCATAACAGAAATGTAGCGCTCCAGAGCTATAACAAGTAGGTTTGCCAGCGAGGCAGAAAGGCTGACATCCAGAAGTCCTTGGCGGATGAAATATTGTGTGACGGTAAGCGTTCGCGACACCTCGCCAGTGTTAAACATGAGGTACACATATGCTATGCCTGCGAGGAAGTCCGAGGCAGCGAGGTTGGACAGAAGATAGTAGAAAGGGTAGTGGAACCTCTTATTGGTGATGACAGCAGCTATGACCATGGAGTTGGAGACTAAGATGAAACAGCAGAAGAGAGAACCCACGACCTGGACCAGGATGAGCTGAGTTCGGTCCCATTTATCTTCTTGACCACTGTAGTTGTAGAAGAAGGCCATGGACTCTTTGAAATGACAGGTTACATTCTGCTGGGCCATTGTATTGGTAAATCTGTGAAGTGAAAGAAACTCTTAGAATGGAAATGCTGAGTTTTGCAAAAACATCACTTTCAATCTTTACTGGCATCACTCATCTCTGGTTTGTAATGGCATTACTTCTTAAGTGTATTACCACTGAATAATGGATGTTTTGTAGCACTAAAGCCAAAACCACAATGGTCCTAATGTTTACTACACCATGAGTATTTAATTTCATTAACTGTTAAATGTATCAAGGCATGGCGTTCAAAGTCTTTGAGGCTATATTTGCAAAGTTCAGGCGATTAAGACTACCGGATGAAAGAAAGGTTGATCATGTTATCATAGTAGTTTTCTTCAAGGCCAAATAACTTGAAGAATGAATTCCTCCAGACAACAAAACTGTAGAACAAGGATACAGTCCCACTGAGGGTTATTTCTATAGCCTATGGTTAGAAAATATCCACAATAATGTCAAAAACGAGCAGGAAACTAGTAGTTGAGGGAAGGTCTTGCTGATTACACACACTTGGACAGAGATATGCGCCAAGACAAAAGTTTACACAGTTTCTGTCATTACGCAACTTTACAACTTGTTCGACCAGATTTACTCAAAAGTACAAAAGTACATTCGTTTAAACAGTAAAGCCATAAAGTAAGGCAGAAAGCAATATTTACCGGCATAAAACAAATAAGAAATAGTCTCTGCGGGAAAAGAAAACAGGTGAATTTACCTGCGTGACGCGTTACACTACAAGACGTTGCGAAAGCGTCCGTGCGGAGCGGGTCCCCGGCATGGCAGCATTGTTCCCGCAGCTGCAGACAGAGGAGCCGACTGAAGCTCAGGAGGCTTCACGTCGAGTCTCTGCCCACCGTGACGTAAAGGGTGTCAACCGCGCACAGTCCCAGCTGAGGCCGCGCGAGACGAGCATGCGCACCCACGCACTGATCATGAGCCACAATTACATATAACGTTAAGACTTGTTTGAGGATCGGGTTGATCTTTGAGCTTCACCTGGTGGTTCATGGTCGTTTGCTTCCTGTCCAGGGCCGGCCCTAGATTGTACGGGGCCCCTCAGTAGAATTTCACTTGGGGCCCCTCATATCATTTAAAGCCAACTGCTGTCAAATCAAGCAATGTTTCCAGTGTTTTTCATTTAATATAAAAAGGCATATTAATCAGTCACTTTTCTGAACACTGTTGAATGTGGAACACCTTGGGGGAAAAAAAAAATCTGACCTCCCTAAGGGATTTTAAACAACTAAGTTCAATGCAAAAATCAGTTCCTGTTTTTAGTATTTTACACCGTTTTATAATGTAGCTTGTTTTATATCACTTCTTTTATTTGCTGTATGCGTTTATATGAATGTTTATTAATGTGTGTACCTCATCAGTTTTCTTTGTTTAAAACAAGTCTCTCTTGTAAATGAGACTGGCCTGTATAAATAAAGGTTGAATGAATGAACGTGGCATTGTTGTAGTAGAACTCATGTGCAAAACTTTTGCTTAAAACTTTGCTTTTAGTTATTAGTGAACCCAGATTGTTAGCAAAATATCTACATTGCGCATGAAAGGTGATTCAGCTAAGGCACAAGAAGCAGACATTAATAAATGAGCATGTATTTATAACTTTGTCATTAGGAATACAATAATAAACTTTGAGTTTGTTTAATGTGAGTATACAAGTACGTGCTCATTGGCCCCCCCTGCTGGCCTGGGGTCACTCTGCAGCTGCTTGTTTGGCCAATGTTTCAAACCAGTCATGATTTAGTACAATTTTTTTTCATTTATTTTATTATTTAAAACTTTTTCCCAGTTTTGACTTGTTTATATCTCTCAACCCCTTCCGTGAACACTAAACTACAAATAAAGAACCCACTCTAGTCCTATTTTGACTGCCTATACTATAATTTTCTATTTAATCAAAATCTGATAAATTAAAGGTCAGGCATTCCTTGAAATGCATATTACCCTTTAATGTGAGTTTTAAATCAAAATCTTACATTTAAAATGGACAGAGTAACAGCCCTTTTAGTCAAGCATTGTGAATATTGTGCATGAGTCATTGCCATTTATGAGTTTGCTAAGGTTGATTAGTTGTGACGGCCATCTTGATTTGAGGTGAATCCAAATGGCTGTTAGATGTACATCCAATAATTGTTTTCTGAACATTTCATTAAAATACATTACAATGATCAGATATTTATCCAACATATAACGTTGACTCCAGTTAATAGCCCAGTTTTAAAAGCATTCAGAGTATGTCATAGGAATAAGTCTCAGCTACTACCACACCAAATGATAGCCCAGTGTCTGTAAAACTGACATTTGTTTTGGACATGACATGACAAGTCATTTTGTGTTTGCTAAGGTTTCTTGGCTGTGGCAGCCATCTTGATTGTGGTTGACTCCAAATGTTAATCAAGGTAAGAGAAGTTCAAGTTCAAAGTTCTTTATTGTCAGTTGCGTCACATGTGGCACACGAGATGGACAGGAACTGTGTACACAGGGAAACAGTTACATCTATCTAACAACAGCAAAATATAAATTGTAAAAAAAAACACACAAAAAAAAAAACAGTATTAAGGATCTAAGATATAAACTAACTATATTTTGTTAAAAAAAAAAAAAAAAACACACACAAACCAACAAAAATAAAATTGCTCTTTTGCCTTTAGTGGTAGGTTACAGTACCCCTTTTTTTTTTTTTTTTTACTCAAAGTCAAATTTAGTTACCACCCTGAACTCGCCCGATCTCGTCTGATCTCGGAAGCTAAGGGTCGGACCTGGTTAGTTCTTGGTCGGGAGGGAGACCACCTGGGAATACCAGGTGCCATAAGCTTTAGGGGGCTGCTGCAGTGCAGAGGTGGGGCAGCCGACTTGGAACCAGATAGTCGCAGGCTCAACTCCCTGCCAAGCCCACACATCATAGTACTCTTGAGCAAGACACCTAATCTCTAACAGCTTACATAGCTGCCCGCTGCACCACCTGGGTGTATCTCGTGATGGGTTAAATGCAGAGCACAAATTTTGTCATTGTATAGAAACATGTCACTTACTGTTGACTGCTGGGAGGAGTGACCTTTGCTCAGGGAGCAATTCTGCCCGGCATTTGGAGAGTCCTGCTGGACCGAGAGGACCACCGGATCTGACAGCAAGCTGGATGTGGGTGGACGGATCGGTATCTGTGGCCAGATCCTTCGGAGTCGCCGCAGGAGATCCTTCCTGCCCACAGCTATCAGCATCTATAACAACTCTTGAATGAAACCAGGATGATGAGCTACAACACTTAAATTCCCATTGGGATTAATAAAGTATTTTTTTTAATTGAAGTGAATATTTTCTTATATTAACATTTTAACAACTGTAGGACAAAAGTAAGTCACAATAAGTCAGGGTGGCTGTGACTGAGTGGTTAGAGCAGTCCTCCTCCAATGCAAGAGTTGGTGGTTTGATTCCATCACCAATTACATGCAAAGTGTCCCTGGGCAAGACACAACCCCTCATCGCCTCCGACGTGCATCCCATTGGTGTAAGAATGCGATAAAGCGCTGATTATTCTTTGTATATAGTAGAGTGCTGTATGAATGGGTAAATGAGGGCAGAGATTGTGTTGTAAAGCACTTTGAGTATCTTGATTAGACAGAAAGACGCTATACAAGTACAGTCCATTTAAGTCATTTTCACAAGTCTGACATGAGTAATTACGTTCCCACTTGATCCAGTGTCTTTTCCTGGGTTTTATATGAAACCATTCACAGATGCTTTAATTAGATCATGAGCTTAAATCTGGAATGGTTCAAATAAATCCCTGACGTGGCAAAACATGTTTATATTAGAGATAATTGGATCACTACTCTGCTTTGAACTGCTTTAGAATGAATGTGAATGCTGCTCACACAGGGGGAATCCTATCAGACTTGTAATTTGTTCTCTCATTATTATTTTTGACAGAATCATCTCCACCAGCAGCATTGAATTGGTCAAGTTTTGGTGAGAAACCAAAATAGTCTCATTACTGACGTTGATTTTTTTTTTTCAATTCTACGGAAACTTTGTCCGTGCACTGATAAAATTCACCGTTCTATAATTTTTACATATTCTCCTAACTTCACGATTTACTTACGACACAAAGTAAAAAAACAAAAGCACATTTAGTATGACAATCTTTATTAGCTATATTTACTTTAACACTAGAAAAATAAATTACATTTTGCAATGCATTATGTTACACAGCTGCAGTTGATGCGAAGCTCGATTCAGAAAACCCTGAATACATTTCTTCGGCATGTTCAGACCTTAAAACGGACCCAGTAAACTTTCACACAATACACTGAAATCCAGTGGATATTAACACAGATTAAATATTTTCTAATATAAAGTTCCAGTTTTAAATACATAGCTCAAGGTCCAGATTTACGTCCTGCACGAAGAGCTTCTTTTGGCATTTCATATTGCACTTCACACGTTGTACTCGTGTAACTCTCCAGTTTCCAGGACTCTGCAGCAAAAGACTTGGATCTGCAAGATTGTATCAGATCCTGTTCCCAGTCTTCTGCTCCCTGAACCAGTACATCGAGAGACGGCCCAGCCTTCATCATCACTGGACACCATTTGCTGGAAGTCTGTAACACACACATACACACAAAGTATTAAATATCTCTTCTATAAAAGCAGCATGTTTGATACATTGTCATAAGTGAACATGAACAGATTTGTTTGTGTCAAACATTTTACTGGGTTTAATTTACACATGAATTAAACAAATGCTCTTCAAATGTGGTTTTAAAGCTTTACCATAAATCCTTAAACAAATTTAAATCGACCAGAAAAAGGTGGAGAATCAAGTGGAGTTCAAATATCTGAAATGTGATCACAAGAGATATATGGAGTGGGAGATGAATCAATAAATGGGGGCATCAGCTGCAGTAATCACTGCATTGCTCCGGTTTGGAATGGTGAAGGAGCAGAGCCTAAAAGACAAATCTCTCGATTTATTGGTCCATCTATATCCATGAGACGATCCATTGTGACCTAAACAAGATCCTGGATAAAAGCGGCTAAAATGAGTTTCCTTCATGGAGTGGCCAAATGAGAAGCTTCATCATCAGGGGGGAGCAAAGTGTGAAGCCATCACTCCTCCACATCAAAGAGTCAGCTGAGGTGAATAAGCATCTGATTACAATTCCCCCTGGGTGTTGTCTTGGCTTTTCCAGACATGTCCCACCAAGCTAAGTGGAAAGGGATATATGTGTTTCCCTCTTATGTTCATCCAGTTACACAAAAGCATTTTGTGTATGCAATCGTTAAGTTGCAGCACTAAATGAAAAACGTGTTTCTTGCAGGCTATCTGATGCTATTTTTGACCTCGAATGGTTTTGTGCAGGTGAAATGCAGCTTGCACATTTTGCAATATGAACCCACGTCAAAAGAGCTGTGGACACGATTTTCTTTAAAGAACTGGAAGGGAAAGTGAGAACTTACCTTTTATTTCATTTCCAATTTTATCAAAAATGTTTAGTTCATCTTTAAGAAAAATAAAATAAAATGTAAAACGAGGACTTCCAATGGAATTTAGCCAAATATTCTTGTGTATTCAGTTCCTTGAATTAAAAAAAAAGGACTCAAGTAAAAAAGAAAACATCTTAAATGTAAACTGTGCAGATTAACCAAAATTACCAGCAACTAATTTAAGCAAGCTTGATAAAATGTTAAAATCCAAAATCCGATTACTTATTAGTATAAATTTACTTTAAAACAGTGGTTCCACCAGTTTCCATAATAGAAACA